AGGTGCATAGGTGCTACTACACTCGAGGCATATAAGAAGTATGCGGAAAGGGATGCTGCATTTGGGCGAAGGTTCCAGCAGGTTTATGTAGCTGAGCCTAGTGCTGCAGACACAATTAGCATCCTTCGAGGGTTGAAAGAAATATTTGAAGATCACCATGGTGTTAGCATTCAAGACTGTGCCCTGGTAATGGCGGTGCCGTTATCAAGTCGATACATTAGTGGTATGCCATATTTCCTCTTCACAAATGTATGATCAAAGGAAAAAAAAATTTTACGCCATATTAAATGCAATGTTTATATAAATATTATTGGATTAATATTATAAATGATTTTTAAATTATAATGAAATATTTAAAATGATATTTAAATTTTTTTTAAATTTTAATGTGCTAATTATCTTTTGGATCAGTTAATATGTCATTAGAGTTAGTACTTACATGTAGCGAGTTCGAAAGAATTTAGGCACGTAATGTTCACTTCAATCAGGTATGTAATTAGGTAGAAAAATTTAAGAATTGATTAAGAATTTTAAAAAAATTAATGTGATATAATTTGTTAATTAATGTGGTATTTATCTCCAACGTAACTAATTTCAAATGATGATATATGACAAAATAATCATTCAATTATTACATTAAAAATTTTTAAATTTTATGTATCACATAACATTAACCTAATATTATTTATATAATTTATTGATAATGTATAATATATTTATTCATTACATCAACTATATATTCAAATAAAATGTATTTCTTTTACTCTTTGCATTTCAAAGGAGAGTAATTGGGCCAATGTTTCAACTTATACAAGACCCAAGTCGATTTTGCAGGCTTGAACCTTATGGAAAGACCTAACGTTTTACCTTACACAAGATCAAGGATTTGTTGGTAAATTAAAGAATTAGAACGATGATTAATTTTTTTCTTTGATGAAAATGAGAAAAAATAAAATAGAAAAGATATTCATTTTTCATCTTTATCTAAAAAAGCAAACCATTTCAAATTGAAAAAATAAAGGAGAAAAATGTATGTAAAATGTGTATATTACAAGATTATTTATTATATCTTAAATTTTATTTTATTTTTTTAATCTTAACTTACAAAGGAATAATTGATATAATTTTTATTTTTTTTCTTTTCATTTTTTAATCCTATTAAGTAATGTATGAAAAAAAATTCATTTTTCTACCAAGTAAATTGTGGAAAAAATATATACTTTTCTCTTTTTTTTTCTCCCTTTTTAATTTTAAATTTTTTTTTATTATTCTATCCAATTGACCAAGCAAAGCCTAAAAGTTTTTTTTTGGGAGTTGGGATTTTTCATGTATACATTGCCATTGCCTCTTTTATATATAATAAATACCTATTCTCTAATCACCTTTAACGAAACTTAAATCTCAAACTCCTAATATGTGGTTTGGGAAAGTCCAAAGGATTTTAATTAATGTGAAATCTATGCAAAAGAAACTATGCATTTTAGTCAATGCAAGGAGCCAACATAATACTTGGGATAAAGTGCACTTATAGTCTAAATTTTTTATTTGAGCTTTATTTGGATTCTTAATTTTTAAATTATTTCATAAAAGTCTCAAAACTTTTAAAAATTACATCAATATGGTTCTCTTTTCAAATTTTGAGTAAAAATAAAAGATAATTATAATTTAGAATAATGGATATAGAATTATTATTCTTTGCTGTTATATTAAAATGTATTTATTAAAAAAATAAAACTTTTAAATTTTTTAAGAATAAAATAAAGGTATCAATTTTGCCATTGTTTTTAAAATTAAGGGTAAAATGATACTTTAATTATTTTGTTAATAATTTTAAAAAATTATTTTTTAAATAAATATATTTTGATATAATAATAATTAATAAAAAGTAATAATTTTAAATTCATTAGTTTGATTTTATACAAATTTAAAGGGAGAACTATATTGACACACTTTTAAAAAAGTTTGTGACTTTCATGAAATAATTTAAAGATTATAAATAAATAAGCAAACAAATACAAGATAAATAAATAAATAAACACATCAAATGAATAAAAGAAAGGGAAAGAAGAAAACAACCAAAGTGCAAATACCATCTAATTTAAACTTGTTGAAAAATCGTAAGTATCTAGGACTATAGTTTATAAGGTACATCTCAACAAAAGGACTGAGCCCCATATCACCATCCAATAGCCTAGGAAGTTTAGTCAAATGCAAGAAAGAAAACATAAGTGGCAACATGTATGTAATATATCTTGGGTTTCAACATGACAAGCCGGACCAGGTTTTGATTGCATTGGGTTTCAACGTGTTTTGCATAAAAAATTAGGAGTATTAAAAGAACTTGATTAGTTATGTCGCAATCTCGGTAATTTTGCATAAAATTCTTGAGATGATTTTTTTATTTCTGGTGGTTTTTGGTTGCTACTTCTCTATTTCAGGATTTTGGGTATGGTAGCTATTGGGTATTATTGTAGCTAGAAATTGGGGAAGGTAGAGTCGATCCTTCTTGTATTTTTTACTTGCAATTGAATTTTTTTTACTGTCGATTCTTTTTCATGAATTTTTTGCTTTTCCCAACCTACCATGTTTCTATGATGTTAAATTTATAGAGAAAACATCCCAATTATAAGAGAGTTTTTGATCAATCAGTTTTCAACAATTACAAACCAAACCAAATTTAACACTTTTAATTCTTTACCAACTCTCTCGTTGAAATCTAAGCCAAACAAATCTTTTTTTTAATAAATTAGTAACTCAAAACTAAATAAAATAATAAATAAAAATAAAAATAAAATAAAATTTAAAGCCTAATTTTAAAATGTGAATTGATCCTGGATTAAATATTGTGTCTATCACTGTCCATCTTTGCATATTTTTGTATATTTTCTATGAAACAAGAGATGTACAAAAATATAAACATCCATTACATCCGGTTTTGACATAAAAAAAAAAAAAACTAGAGATTCTCATCTATAATAAAGATTTGTAATTTGTAACTACAATTCAAAAGTTCGTAACTAAAAATTCAAACATTTGCAATTTGAAATTCAAGAATTCTCAACTTGAAGTTCAATGGTTTGTAATTAAATTCAAAGATTTTTAATTAATTGGATAAGTATCCTTTAGAGTTTAGATTAGCAATGGAATTTTAATTTTGAGAAGCAAGTTTATAAGATTGTTCAATTTAGTCCTTATGCTAATTTTAAATTTTAAATTATAAATTTATAATTGAACACACATGACAATTCTTTACTTCTTTTTTTAAATTTTCTTAATTAAGCATGAGATAAAAAAAATAGATATAGATCTTTTATTTGAATTGCTAGATTTTTTTATTCAATTTATTCACAAATCATAACAAAATTATTTACCAAAGTAGGTAATAAATTCATGAATTTTTCAAACAATATAAAAAACAAAAATTGAACAAAAATCATAGTTCAGTTAGTATATATAATCTTATATAAGAGATGTTATTCAGTAAATTTAAAATTCAAATTTCAGTACTTACAATTTCTTCTCTTATTTCTAAATTACAATTTTTTTAAAAAAATTTTACTAAATAAATAAAATTATGACAAACTAGTGTTTTTTTTTTTTTTGGCCAAACTAGTGTCTAGTGTTACTTTCCACAAAAAAATTGTCTATTAGTTGATGTTGAGAAACTAGTAGAAAAATAATGTTTATTCAATAAATGAAGAAATTTCCTTCATAATTTATTTTTTTCTTGGTAGGTGATAAATTATTTAGCATAGGCACTCAACAGTCAAAGATGGAGGCTCCTTTTCGTAATATAAATGCTAATTAATTATCTATAGAGTTCTTTCAATCAAAATAACACTAGACGTTTTGAATATAAAGCTAGTGTTATTTAATATCTACCAATCAATATCGAAAAGTCTTTGGAGAATTTTCAAATATCCCTAGATAAAATACAAATAAAAAAAATTAAGAGAGTGAATTTTTAAATGGAATAATATCTAAATAAGTTATTAAATTTTAGTCAAAAAAGAAAAAAAATTATCCATCTTTTATTTTATAAGGATATAAACTTTGATTTTATTGTAATTAAATCCTTGATGCTATAAAATATTCAATTTTTTATTAAAAACTTTTGAATTTGGATGATGTAATTTATAAAACTGCTTATTTAGTTTTACTTGTATTCTTTGATCATGCCTGTTTTCTTTGTGATAATATCTAAGAGAGTGAATTTTTAAATGGAATAATATCTAAATAAGTTATTAAATTTTAGTCAAAAATGAAAAAAAATTATCCATCTTTTATTTTATAAGGATGTAAACTTTGATTTTATTGTAATTAAATCCTTGATGCTATAAAATATTCAATTTTTTATTAAAAACTTTTGAATTGGATGATGTAATTTATAAAAATGCTTATTTAGTTTTATTTGTATTCTTTGATCATTCCTGTTTTCTTTGTGATAGGTCACTTTTATTGCCAAATCAAGCATCCAATCTTCCAGCAAACAACCAATTATCCTGTTAGAAAACACATCAACAATTTAGATGACTTCAATTATAAATATTTAAGGGAATTCTATTTTAAAACTTCTAAAAATTAGATATTATTAATTTATTTTCCAAATTTAATGGTACAATTACACTAAAATAAAAGTTAATGTTTTTAATTAAATAAAATAAAAAATATAAGATTTATTTTATTTTTAATAAAATTGGAGAGTTTACTTTGTATTATTTAAAAAATTTAAAAAATTAATTTAAAAAAAAAATCGTTAGCTCCCTTGTGGGTAACAATATCACGCTTAGCAGTCCAATAGAATCATGTGTTTAGTGTAATTTCTACCATTCTAGATTTTTAGGCAAGAGTCATGTGTTTGCAATTTCTACCATTCTTCACTATCTGGTCAATGGTTGCCACTGTTCTACAAGGGGGTAGCCTCACCTACCAGACACACGTTCACCCAACAAATCTGTTCAAACTGTCTATAGCTAACCAATTCTACAATCTAATCTATACTTTTTTTGTTCCATAATGTATTGTTAGAATGAAAGACTACTTATAAAACACTCTCTACTCTTCTCACTCTTCACTTCCAAATAATTTCTTGAAACTGAAAGCTTCAGGACCACCCATGGCTTCATTTGTTCTATACTCCATACTCTCTGCTGTTTTTCTCTATTTCGTTTTTGTTACCTTGAGGAAGCGCCATCGCCTACCTCCAGGCCCGAAACCATGGCCGATTATTGGGAACTTGCCACATATGGGTCCCATGCCTCACCATAGCTTAGCAGCCTTGGCTAAAGTCTATGGACCTCTAATGCACCTCAGGTTGGGGTTCGTGGACGTGGTAGTGGCAGCGTCGGCAACGGTTGCAGCCCAATTCTTGAAAGTTCATGACGCTAACTTCTCGAGCCGGCCACCCAATGCTGGTGCCAAGTATGTTGCTTATAACTATCAGGATCTTGTGTTTGCGCCTTATGGACCGAGGTGGCGGATGCTACGGAAAATCAGTTCCGTCCATCTGTTCTCTGGCAAGGCTTTGGATGACTTCAGACACGTTCGCCAGGTTTAACTGATTACTACATATTCCCCATAAGTAATAAATATTTTGATATTCTGTCGGATTGGTTCTGATTACGGTAACCTGATTTGAGCAGGAGGAGATAAGGGTGCTTGTACGAGCTTTGGCAAGTGCTAAAAATAAGGTGAACTTGGGGCAACTACTGAACGTCTGCACAGTGAATGCCCTGGGGCGAGTGGTGCTTGGGCAAAGGGTGTTCGGTGACGGTACTGGCGGGGCTGATCCGCAAGCAGATGAATTCAAGTCGATGGTGGTGGAGCTGATGGTGTTGGCTGGGGTTTTCAACATTGGTGACTTCATCCCAGCGCTGGAGTGGCTAGACTTGCAGGGGGTACAAGCTAAAATGAAGAAGCTCCACAAGCGATTTGACAGGTTTTTGAGTGGGATTCTTGAGGAACACAAACTCAAGGCTGGAGATGGCAGTGGGAAGCACACGGATTTGTTGAGTACGTTGATTTCATTGGAGGATGCTGATGGAGAAGGAGGAAAGCTCACTGACACTGAAATCAAAGCATTGCTCTTGGTATTTCTTTCTTATTTACTACAGTAGATTTTATCTATGGAATTAGATAATATTAATAAGCTTACTTTCGGAAAAAAGATCATTAATTTTCCTTTTGGAATAAATGCAAGATTAGGTACAAGATATTAATAAATAATTCTCCCATTTTCAATAGTCCTGATGATGCCATGGATGTGGAACATTTTCCATGTCAAATTAGTTACTATAATGAGACAAATACAATACATAAGAGATAAAAACATGTCATGTGCTTAAAGCAAATCTTTAATCTCCTTTCTCTTCTTTGTTCCCATGTGCTAAATATATTTTAATAATCAGGGTTAGTGCTAATTGTGTATGATATGATGGCAGAACATGTTTACAGCTGGAACTGATACCTCCTCAAGCACAGTAGAGTGGGCGATAGCAGAGCTCATTAGGCATCCCAAGATCTTGGCTCAAGTTCGGAAAGAGTTGGACTCAGTTGTGGGTCGAGATCGGCTTGTCTCAGACTTAGACCTGCCCCATCTAACTTATTTCCAAGCTGTGATTAAGGAAACCTTCCGGCTCCATCCATCAACTCCACTCTCCCTCCCTCGGATGGCTTCGGAGAGCTGTGAGATCAATGGCTACCACATCCCAAAGGGTGCCACGCTACTGGTCAACGTGTGGGCCATAGCTCGTGACCCTAACGAATGGAAGAACCCGCTAGAGTTTCGGCCTGACAGGTTTTTACCAGGCGGCGAAAGGCCTAATGCTGACGTTAGGGGAAATGATTTTGAGGTTATACCATTTGGTGCTGGACGTAGAATATGTGCTGGTATGAGCTTAGGGTTGCGCATGGTGCAACTATTAGCAGCAACATTGGTGCATGCTTTCGACTGGGAGCTGGCTGATGGATTAATACCTGAGAAGCTGAACATGGATGAAGCCTTCGGGTTGACATTACAACGTGCCGCGCCATTGATGGTGCACCCAAGGCCAAGGTTATCCCCGCATGCTTATTGAGCATCATCGCAATGTTTTAAGTTATGTGCCTGTTGAGCGTACTTTACAGATAAAATTTTAATGCACGTCCCTGGGCCCTGGCTGTTGTTTGTAAATCTAGTACTATCAATCTGTCACCACATAATGACCCCAATTTGCTGGAGAGTTTTTCCTCTAGTGAAATTGGGTTTCCTTGAGATATTCATGAATCTGTTGGTTATTTACTTTATAATGGATAGCAATTTTGTTATATATTTAAAATTGTCAAAATTAATAGTTAAATGTATGATTGTTAGTTTAGGACAATACTTATATGAAATTTCATAGATGATGTTTGTAAAGTTTTTTATTAAAAATAAGTAAATAAAAAATTTTAATAAAAATTCAAATAGATAGATTAATAGAGTTTAACATAAAAATCAATAATATGTAAAAATATTATTAAAAATATTATTTATAATTCAAATTTAATCGGCACTTATTTAACGATAAAATTTTTATCAATATTTTTACTAAAAATATTTATTTAACAAACATACCAAAATTTATTAAATTTTTTTCAAAATTTACAGGCTTGGTCACTTGATCTATATGAGTCACTTGATCTATATGAAAATGGGACAAATGTCCAATGACAGAAAATTGACAGCCCAAGAAAGAACTGCCCTGAAGGCCTAAATGCACAACCAATGGGAGGAGCAAGCATTGGACAGTCACAACTCACAACTCACAGCTAGGGTTAATCATGCCAAGATTAGATGAGATTGGGATTTAAGATTCTTGCTAACAAAATGAGAAACAACTTTACTTGGGGTTAACTTTTTTCCTTGTTCTATGAATGTACTTTCAGGGCACAATTCACAAAATGGTTGCTTTATTTGAAACTAAAGTGGTTTTTTTTTTTTTTTCAACAATTTATTATAAGTTCCATGCATTGTTGTTTAAATTTGCTTTGAGCAAGGAGGGAAAGGTTTTGAGATCAAAATCAAATGGTGTGGAAAATGCATAGGGTTATCGTATCTATGGTCAAAGAACCCCCATAGTAGGAGCCAAGAAGTGTGGATCAAAGGGCATTATAATGGCAGCCAAGAAGAAACAAAATATGTGGGCACCACTGCCAACCTGGTTGGTTGAACTAAATGAGGCTGTCTATAGTTCGAGGCCCATCTCTATTGCAGAAATGCATATTCGCAGTGGTTAGTGGTGACTGACAGATGATGAGATGACTCATTTTTCTTAATGTCATCATCTCATTTCATATATTTATTTTTGCTTAAATTCAAAAAGAAAAAAAAAAGGCACATTGTGCAAAATCAATTACTATAGAAATCTGTTGATCCATCATGAATCCTGATGCTTGCATTATGAAATAGTATGAACATAACAAAACTTGAAAAGTCCATAGTTCATACATTAGCTCTGTGGGATCCCACTGTCAACAATTCCCAGTCACCTTTAACCCTCAAATAGTGCCTCAGAGAAACCAAAAGCTTTACTTTGATCAAGCTCAACTCCCTATGAAACTATTATTTCTTCCTTTGATGTAGGTTAGACTTTTTAAAGTAAAGAGTAAAGACATAAATATAGTACCTGAAATGAAGAAACAAAAAAGCACTCCACAAGCCGACACCAAACAAGGCCACCTTCATCCCACCATCTACATCACTTTCTTACATGTTTTATTTCTCTTGTCTAGATATCAACCACCTTTTCTCTCACACTGCCTTATACTCTTTCTCTCTCAAGTTGCAACAAAGTTTTCTCTGACTAAGCTGTGACCTCCATTGTTATCTTCCACTAGCCTTAGTATCTCTTAATTACTCAGACACACTCCCCCAATACGCTTTGTTCTTCAATCATGGCTGCTTTAGTGCTTGCAGTGCTCATTCTGGCCATGACTGGCCGCTCAAGTAAGCTGTTGAGATGACATTTTTTCTGCAAAGCCATTTTGTTTTCTGTTTGTAGATGTTTATCTCCTTTTCTTTGTGGCTTCCATGTTTCATTTTTCTACCTAACATTCCTTTTCTTTTTCCCTTAAAAAAAGAACAAAATAGAATTCATCTAACCCATGTTGGCTGCATCTATCCAACATTTTTTCACTTTTTTCTTTTTAGTCTGAAGAGAGTTGCACCCTGTCATCTCATGCTAATGTTTTCTTTCTCTTTCTTCCATTGAGTTTCCAGCTTGAGCTTTCACTATTTGGGTCATCATTAAGGAAAAATAACACCCTTTTGTTAGTTTTTCTCATCTCACTCCCCACCTTAACAAAATCTCATTGTTTTTCCCTTTTAATCTGTTTTAGATTTCCCCTTTCTCTGAAAAAAAATGACTGTATGTGTTTTTCTTTTATGGGGAACTTGGACAGGTGCCACATGGTGTGTTTGCAAGGATAGTCTGGGTGAATCAGCCTTGCAGAAGACTTTGGACTATGCTTGTGGAGCTGGGGCTGACTGTAATCCTATCCATTCAACCGGGCCTTGTTTCAACCCCAACACTGTCAGGGCACATTGCAATTATGCTGTTAACAGCTATTTCCAAAGAAAAGGCCAAGCTCAAGGCTCTTGTGATTTTGCTGGCACTGCAACTGTCACTGCATCTGACCCTAGTAAATTTCCTTTCCATCCGTCTGTAATTTCTGCATTTTACATTTTTACAAATGCAGTTAAAAAGAAAAACAATCCCAAAACTTACCCTCTTATTTATTTTTTCTTGGTGATTCACAGGTTCTACTGGCTGTGCCTACCCATCCAGTGTCAGGTATGCATTAAGTTTCTGATTGGTTCTTTTTTTCTGTTTTTAGCTTCATTTGAAATATGTTTATGGAAAAAGTTTTCATGTGCACTTCATTTTCTCTCCATCACAAAACATTGGGCCCATCCCACTATTGTGTGATAAGAAGGGAAGGAAGGACTAAAGGAGTAGCCGATTAGGCATAATAGTTGTCTCTGTTCTTTAATGTGATCTGTAATATCAGCACATTAAAACTGGGGCGCCTCTAGTTGTTAATACTATTAATGGGGCATTTAGCACTGTCTGACGCAGAAAGATATTTTCATTTCTCCTAACTTTTGAAGTCCCCAAATGCCTCATTTAGTTTTCTTTTTGAGCTAGCGTTTGAGCCAAAAACAATACGCCTCATTTAGTGACAAAGATTAGGATTTAGGGTCCTTTGATTGCTTTGATTATACGTGGTGGGAGAGATTTTCATCGACTCGTAATCACATTTTATGGTCAGATTTTTTATTATCAGCTTTAATTTTTTTCAATAAAATGAATTTCGGATATATATTTTTGAGAAAATTGGTTACAGATTTGAATTTTATGATTAAAGTTGATAATGATTGGTGTGCTCAAGCGTTAAATGTACATTTCTGATAGTTTTGAAGCAAATTTAGCAACGTTAGGATAGTTGGACAAAGGGTCATCAAATATTTATATCTTGATGGTCCACATGCAAATATTTAGTCTAAAGTTTTATCAAAGTTGGACCACATAGCTAAGCAGGAACTAAGGTTTAAGCAGAGGAAAAGAAAAAAAAAATGATTAACAAAAGTAATAATAATCTTCTGATAAAAAAAAAAAAAAACCAGTAATGGACAACCAGCTTTTTATCATTGGAGTGGAGCCAAAAAGGGTAGCTTTTTTTCAAAAAGAAATTCAAGTCCACTTCAACTGTTTTCATAGAGATGCTTTTACACCAGAACAAATTTATATTTACATTTATATTTGTATATTCCAATACAATATCTAACACTTTACTGCTTTTTCCTTTCCCTTTGATCTTATTCTAAATGAGCTCCTTTTGTCAACTTCATATTGATGGTGCCACATCTAATTAGTAAAGTTCTAGAGTGATGTAGCATTGTTGCTTTTCACTATCATAAAAATCTTGAACTTAGTAGGATCTAATGCACCTTTTACTAAAGGTTGGATGTCCGGTAATAAATAAAAATTCTCTTACCGCGTATCTAAATCAAATAAAGAATTATCAAATTTAGTCGTTTGTTGTAACTTGCTATGGTTTTATTTACTTTCATCATGATCGAATGCTCCTTTTATTAAAAGTTAAAGACTTAATGTTCGATCATAAATCGATATTCATGTTTGATGAAAAATTTATCATTGCGTGTTTTAATCAAATAAAATTTCTCAATTTTAATCTTTTATGTAAGTTGCTATGATCTCGATTATTTTCAATTATATGTAGTAATTAAGGATACACATTTTGTGTAGTACTCTTTTTGAGTCATTTTTTAATATCTTTTCTTCTTTAGATGTTTTAAATCAATGTTTTTTAAACACTTAGAACTGTAATTTTTATATTTTAATATTATTTTTTGTGATTTTTTTATTATTGATGTAAAAAATTATAGAACATCAATTTTATGAAAACAAATTAAAAACTTTATAATAAAATATTTTTTAAAGAATAACTAATAATCTGAGATGGAAAGAATAGTATAATTGTATCAAATTCACATTAAAGTACTCATCCCTAATATATTCACGATTTTGCCTTCTGCATTTTCCCACTAGAAGAATTTATTGTCCCAAAAAATGGAAAAACAAAAAGGAAAATGATGAATTTTTTTTTCCTTAATACAGATTATATTATAAATTTAAAATATATTCTTATATCTACATAAATTATAATAATATAATTTGATTAAAAAAAAAAAGTTGCTGCCAGTTTCATGGTGGGGCAATCTCATTCGGTTCTTTTTGATCTTTGGAGCCCACACACCTTCGTACCCTTGATGGACGAATGTTTTCTTTAAGATTCGAGCCCAACTTTTTGAAATTTGACATGCCTTGAAGCTTGTGCATGTGTTGTCCTTTGTTTGTTTTTCATCTCACCTCTTTTTTTTTTTTTTTACCATGTCCATGACAAACATAAAGACATAGAATCTCCATATCCACCATCCCTAAGAAGAAAGTATCCATCCTTGTTCAAAAATTAATTGTTTTCACTATACCATCTTGTCTGTTCATAAATATGAATTTGATTTCATGAACTATCTAGAAATGATGATATCAAATTATTACAGTGGAAATAATTATATGAATTCTATCATTGAAGTTTCATTGAAAAAAATGCGAAAAATATTGAATTTTAATTTTAATGATTAAGATTTAATCTAAAATATAAAAAATTCTTGAAATATTAGACTAAAAATGATACCTCATAATTGTATTCATTTTGCTTTATTTTTCAAAACATTTGATCTTTTGAGTTTGGCTTAGTGCCTCATGCCTCCTCATTAGTATATATTAAAGTAATTAAGGAGCTGGGTTCCAGACATAGGCTCCTATTCTTCTAGGATATATCGTGGTACCTCTAATTTCATATTAAAAGAACATGTAGATATAATATGATATATATAAATATTTAAATTTAAATTTTAAAAAAAATTATGAAATAAAATTATAAGATTTTTAGATTAAAATGAATAATATCTTATAAATGGGATGAAGGTGTCCACACATATAGATATCCTCCAATTCTCTTTCTCCCACCCCAGCCAAAAATAAAGAATTTAACTCTTTTAAGCTTAGTTCATTTTCTGGTTGTGTCCTTTATTAAATATTGAACCAAATACATGATGTGAAAATAAATGTTTTTTGGTACGTTGTCTATTATATAAAACAATAATATCTTAATTGGTTCAAGTATAAAAAAAATGTCTCAAATATATTCTTTCGAAAGAAGATCCGGGATGTAAACAATTGTCTCAGTGAAATTCAAACCAACTTGTCTATGCATGGTTTATGGAATATGACTCATATATTGTGTGTTATGCATTATTAATTGTTATTTGATTCATTGCTTTTAGAAATATTTGATGACTCTTGTTTTTTTCTTTTTTTTTGGATCAGTACCGCAGGCACCACCACAACACCAACCACTCCTGTCACAACAACTACTCCATCAAACACCACACCATCGACCATGAACCCAAGCACTAACACCCCAACAAGCACAACACCGTATGGTACAACAACACCTACAGGAGTCTTAGGAGGAGCTGGCACCGGCTTAGGCCCTTCCGGAGCAGGGATCAACACAGACTACAGTGATGGAGGATTTAGGCTCCCAGGCTTCTCTTCCTTCATAACTCTCTTGTTTTCAGGCTTGATGCTATTGTGGGGTTGAAAAAAAACATTGAGTGAGTTAATTGTGGGTTGTGTTAGTGAGGTAAGGTAAGGGTGGTCAGTGGTTATGCTGGATTTCAATGTTCATAAGTTGGTATCCATGTGATTCTCTGCTTTTGTTTATCTATGAACATGTCATTAGCATGGCAATGGGGATTTTATTCCTTTTTAAAGCATGGTTTTTGTGGTTACAAATGTAGGGTTATCTACCACCTTTTTCACGTCTTATATAAACCTAGATTTGAAGAGAAGTTGGATCCACAACATCAGCAGTACTTCACAATTTGGCTATGGATTTTAAATTATAGTAAAATATTTAATATAATTAACTACAGTTACTAATATAACCTTTTACGAGTAGATGGATTTGTCCATTTGCTCTTGTTGGCTTATATCTGCCTGGATCGGTAATTGGTTTTTGTTCTTTTTCATGTTGGGAACTGCAGAAACTTGCCTGTCATTTTTTACTAAAGTGGTCCTTTTATGCCATGGGATGCTTGAATTTGGACAACTCCGATGCATATGTTACGTCACAAAGATTTGATGTCATCAATTTACAGTTAACTCTGTCATTAGGGTCGGATCTGATAAGATGAGTTTTTATTTGTTTTAAATCTGATTTAATTTTATATCTGATAAATTTGATCTCGATTCGATTTAAATTTATTTTATTTTTTATATCCGAATTTGATTTGATTCGATATTGTATAACATGTATTCGATTCGACTCGACTTGAAATTAATAAAATATTATTTTTTAAATATAAATATTTAAATATATAATTCTATAAATAAAAAAAATAATTAAAAAATTATTTTTATATAATATCAAATCGGATCAAATTTATCTAAAACTCGAATCTGATCTAATCCTATCCCAAACTCGATTTAATAAAAAAAAAACTCGACACTGTGAGATCGAATTAGATTAAAATCCGTCGGGACGGATTTGATTGCCCACTCTGTCTGCCATAAATCCTTCCATTGTCAATGACCTAATTGTAGGATGTATTGGAATAAAATGACATTAAATTTCCTAAATTTAATTTTTTCTTAAAAATTTTGAAGCATTACCATATAAATTATAAACAAACTATTATTCTTTTAGTTTCATATAAGACTAATAATATAACAAAATTATACGAAACAAAAATATAAAAAATATATAAAAATAATATAATTTAAAATTTTAATTAAATTCATATATAAATTTTAATTTTTTATCAACATAAATTATAATATATAAATTTTATATAAAATAAAATAAAATAAAAAATTATTAATATATAATCCAATAAAAATACATAAATTGATAAATTTAATACATAAAATTATTTATGTTCACTTTTGTTTAGGATTTGTGCTCTTTTAGAATCTTATATATATATATATATATATATATATAAATGTATAGTTTGTTTTTCAGTATTTAAAGGAAAAGAAATATGCTATTTCTAGATTAAAAATTATTTCAACCTCTTTCCTCAACAGATGCATTATGCAATATTTTATGATATTTGAGTAACCCTACATTTAACACTAAAGAATTTTTGGCTAAAATAACCAAAAAATTTTTAAATTTTATCATTTTATTTAAATAAGTCTCTATATTTTGATCCTACCTAAAGAAATTATTAATTTATAATTTACACTCAAATAAAATCCTTAAATTTTAATTTATATTTTAATAAACCCTTAACCTTTAATTTGAATATAAATAAAATTTTAACATAAATCAATTTTTTTATTTGAATACAAATTAAAAAATAAAAATCTAATTGAATATAATAAAAAATAAAAATTTATTTAAAAAAATGAAATACTTAAAAAAAAAATTTTAGTGTTTTAACCAATAACTTTTTTTAATGCATAACAGCTATTAAAATCACTTAAACGATGAAGGATTTAGATATTACAATTAAAGACTTCATGTTTTCATGATCTGTTTAATTAATCTCAACAAGGGTGAAAATAAATCTTAGTTATTGATCAAGTAAATTTTTTTTCTTTTGATTTGAAAAATTAAAGAATCCAAATCTAATAATTTGAACAAAAAAATACATACACTTATCACTGAATCAATTTATATTTTTTTTTCTTAAAATTATCATAATATTTATTAATTTTCAAGAACTCGTTGCTAGATAACACTTAGTGCGGTAGAGAGTCATTCGTCTCACACCGAAATTTCAGGAAGATCAAAACAGCATTAACACTTTGGAATGCTTCCTATTGTATTGGAAGCTTTGCCAAACGCAGCCTTAAAAAATATTAATATTGGTGTACGTTTCGCAAATGTACCAACAAGAGCAACCATTATGACAAAAACGCCACCGTTTAATATTAGAAAGTGCATGCAGACCGTCGGTCAAACAAGTAATGCGTGTCACGTTCCCTCCAAATATCCCCAAAGCAAAGGAAACAAAAGGGGGGAAATTATAAAAAATTTCAAAATTTTAATTTCAAACAGAAAGTCGCTCAGTCGGCTGCTGCTGTCTCTCTCTCTCTCTCCTGAATGAGACTGTGAGCTAAGCAAAGAGACAGACAGTCAGAGAGAGAGAGAGATGATGGAGGTGGAATCAGGTGAGGGCAAGAGCAACTCCAACCGCATCAACGATGCTAAAAATCAACGGCGAGTAGGCTTAATTTACGATCGGAGGATGTGCAAGCATCGTACGCCTGATGATGATTATCATCCCGAGAATCCCAATCGCATCACTGTCATTTGGAACAAGCTCAAACTCGCCGGAATTCTCCAACAGTAACTTTTTAACTTTTCACCGTTATCTGAAATTTTCTTTCGTTTTCCCGCGGTTTATTTGTGTTGAGAACTCCGTTTTAAGCTAGTTTTTAGAATAATAAATGGCAATAATTCCATAATTTGTTGTGAAATTCATTTCAAATCTTCAATTTGCTTTATTGGGACTAAATCTGATAATTTCATACACAATATATACACAACGCGACAACAGAACAAAAAAAAAAAATACTAAAGCTACAAAATTTGCAATGTTAATAAAAAAGTATGTTTCACGTTTGGCATGACATATTGCCAATGCGGCATGATAATTTTCGTATTTTGTATGTGTTTGATACGAAACTGATATAAATTAGACATGACACAAATATAAGAATTGCTAGGTCTAATTGGAGTACAATTAGTTTTTATATCCTCAAATTATTTAAATTCATTTCTTTTTTAGGTCTTAGTGTGTGTGTGTGGTTTATATATATATATATATATATATATATATATGACCTTCTAGATTTAGCAGAGAGCAAACTTTAGGGGCAAACCATGAAAGACGCAGATGCAATTAATAAAGAATGATATAAAGGTCAAGGAAGTAGATGGAAAGGTTGTTGTGGATAAAAAAGAGTGGCACAAGAAGATTTGAAATCAGAACCTAACATGATTCTCCTTTGGTCTTTCATAAAGTCGACCCCAGAGTTATGGGATATGATGTCTAGTTTGTTGTTGTTTTGATGTTCTAAATTTTTTATCATTGGCTTTTTCTTTTAGATGTGTGCTTTTAAATGCAAAAGAAGCTGAGGATAAATACATTTGTTCTGTTCACTCCAAAAACCATGTTAATTTGATTCGAAATGTAAGCTGCAAAGAGTATGATTCAAAGAGAAAGCATATTGCGTCCAAATTAAGTTCTATATATTTAAATGAAGGATCATCAGAGTCTGCTTACCTCGCAGCTGGCTCTGTCATTGAGGTACATTATAAATTATTCTCTGATATATGTTACACTTACATTTTAAAGTTAAAAATCTGACCGCAGCAATTTATTTTGTCAAATAGGTTGCTGAGAAAGTGGCAAAAGGGGAATTGGATTCTGCTTTCGCTATTGTTAGGCCACCTGGACATCATGCTGAATATGATGAGGCAATGGGATTTTGTTTATTTAACAATGTAGCTATAGCAGCAAGTTTTCTACTTGATGAAAGGGTGAGAAATGGCAGCTAGCTTTTATAATTCAGGGTCATTTTTCCCAATTTTACAGTGAAGCTTTCGGGATAGCGACAATATGCATTTTTACATGATTTATGTTTTCCCCTTGCAGCCAGAACTTGGAATAAACAAGATTTTGATAGTTGATTGGGATGTTCATCATGGTAATGGTACTCAAAAAGCTTTCTGGAAGGATCCTCGTGTTCTGTTCTTCTCTGTTCACAGGTACATAACTAATATGAGCCCATATTTTTCTTTATTAAGTTGTGTATGCTCTTACTCTAAAATAGTTTTTTTTTTTTGGAGACTATTATATATGCTATAGATAGTTTTTCATTTTTTAAAGATGGCATTAATTGTGTAATAGCCTTTTATTTATAGCTATATTTGTTCTCAATTCTATTTAAAGTGCAGGCTTTCAGATTGACTCTAGACTGTGTGATGCTTAATCACATATTGTTACTGGCATATAACCTCCTTGACCATTTTAATTTGTCTTCAGGCATGAGTTTGGCAGTTTTTACCCTGCTAATGACGATGGTTTTTACACCATGGTTGGAGAAGGACCAGGTGCAGGATATAATATAAATGTCCCTTGGGAGAATGGCCAGTGTGGGGATGCTGACTATCTTGCAGTTTGGGACCATATTTTAGTTCCTGTTGCCCAGGAATTTAATCCTGACATAATTATAATATCTGCAGGATTTGATGCAGGTTTGATGGTTTTATGCTTACACTGTTGAGATTTAGAATCCCTGGTTTTTAGGATGCTTTTAATCTCTTCTTACCATCATAAATATTACGTCTATGTTGTTTGGAACAGCTCTTGGTGATCCTCTAGGGGGATGTCGGGTAACACCGTATGGATATTCAGTTATGTTGAAGAAGGTTAGTGATTAATTTTTATTACCATTTCCTTAATTTCTCCCCTATGATTTCTCTATGTCCATTGCAGTTGGTATGTTACTTTTAATTACCCATTACCTTCATAATTTTTTCGAAGTGAGAATTTAATTTATTGCATCTTTTGTGTATGTCTAAAAAGATGGTTTTCTATATCTTTTGCATTTAATATAACTTCTTTTTCCAGTTGATGGATTTTGCTCAAGGTAGGATTGTTTTGGCATTGGAAGGAGGATACAATCCTGATTCCATAGCAAATTCAGCCCTGGCTTGCATGGAAGTTTTGTTAGAAGACAAACCTATTTCTGGATTTTCTGAGGCATATCCATTTGAGTCAACATGGCGAGTAATACAAGCGGTAATAATCCGTTACAATGGTTTTTACGGAGCTTCCCACTTCTCTTGTTTTGTGGAGTTAACCATGCTTTCTTTTTCCTCCTTTTCACTTTAGTTCCTTATCAGTTGTTAGCGATTTGTTGTTGATATAGATTTTCTTCTGCTGAGGCATAAATGATCTGTTTGCCAGGTTCGCCGGATATTAAGTGCATTCTGGCCAACACTTGCAGATGAATTACCAACTAAGTTGACCAATCAAAAAGCTCCTCCTGTAAGGCTTTTTTCATCTTGGTTGCAGATTTACCTTTGTGCTTTCATCACGTCAAATGTGGATACTTGGTAGATTAGGATGCATTAATGTCTTTGTTAAACTAGTCTTTTTTAGGTGATTTTAAAATTCTTTAGGATTAAACACAAACCAAAAATTCAGTAATTGCTTGTTTATGGGAAAAAAGAGGCTAATTTATGATTAGTCAATAATTGGTACATGATGCTAATATAATCTTGTAGGGGTCTGGAATACATCTAAATATATTTCTGAAAAGAAGGAAGAGTAAATCCTGAATGAGAAAGATGAAAAAATGTACAAGATGAATGTTTTAGGGTTCTTGTAATTAAGGATGGAGTCCTGGGGAGAAAATGCATCTTTCTGAGATACCTGTCTTAGGGTTCTTGTAATTTTAAGACATATAATGTTATTCATTGAACCTGTACATCTTCTAATATAGTTCTTTGCAACTCAGCATATTCTACTATCAAGCTCTGAATCTGATGAGGAGGAGGATGAAGCTTCGAAAATTGTATCAGAAGACCTAGTTTCAGCTGGTGAGGATGTTGTAGAACCCCTTTTGAGGTTGAAGATTGAAGATAATCATGGTAGTAAAGTTAAGACCAAAGTTATTAAGTTAGTTTTGTTCTTTAGTTTTTACTTTAAATGATAAGCTCCATACTAATGCAGATCAAGTAAATAGTGCCCTATGGAGATCAGAGCTGTCCAAGACTGACATTTGGTATGCCACTTTTGGATCAAATATGTGGAAGTCAAGGTTCCTCTGCTATATCGAAGGTGGACAGGTAATGGCGTTTTGTGTTAAAAGTATGGATGATATCCCTACACCTGAAATCAAAGATGTCAATTGAATCTGGTAGCATCAAGACAATAACTAATTCAGAGCCATATGTTATCTTGATAAACTTGGGTTACCAGTTGACAGGTGGAGGGGGGAGGAAAAAAATAAACCATTTTTTTTATTATTGGAGTGTGCTTTTGTCCTATAGCTTTCAAAGTTTCTGCATCTTGATTATGTAGTGTTTGTCTGATGTAGTTTCTTGTTGGCAGAGGTAATAAGGCTCGCATAATAGGAAAAGTTGCCATTTTAGCCACTTCTTGTTAAATAGTTTAACCCCTTTCACTGGGAAAGCTAATGCAGTTGTTAACCAGGATCTAGATGCTTTCCACAAAAAGGCACAAATTGCATTTGCTTGGTCTATGGGAATGTCTGCTGTGTTAGCTTTTACTCTCTACATGGTTTATTGTTTGATGTCCTTTCTTTTCTCAAGCACCATGATTTGTAGCACAGGAGCTCTGTTGTTCCTCTTCTTCAGACCATTTTTTTCCCTCCCTTTTATTTTTCTTTGCTTCTCCCACTTTAATCTATTTTATGTCAATCTTGATATTTGTAAATATGATTCTAGGTTAAAGGTATGAAAAAACCATGTTCTGGTTCAATGGATAGAAATCCTCCGAAGGAGATTACCTGGAAAACTTGTCCTCACCGTCTTTTCTTTGGTCGTGATTTTAACCAAACATGGGGTCCCGGAGGGGTTGCTTTCCTTCATCCTCAAAGCAACAGCCAAGACAAAACTTACATGTGCCTCTATAGGATTACGTAAGTTATTCCATATTGCACTTTTCTAGTTTGGATTTCCTCCTCTGTATGTAGAAGATAATTTCAGTCTCCATTGTGGTTCTTTAAGAAACAAATCTGAAGTCTCCCGATAGGACCAGCACTAATGCATTGGGATCAGCCTGTTTGCTTCATCATCCTATCTGAATTTTTTATTTTTTGGCATTTAAACAGGCTAGAGCAGTTCAATGATGTTTTGCTTCAGGAAAATATTTCAGTTCATGACATGAGTTCTCCTTTTTTTGATCTAAATGCTTTGAACTCCATCCCAAATGAAGGTTCCTTTTCCGTGGAGGCTGTCAAGGTACTCCATATTTATCATGCCCTTTCATATTAGTTTGCAATATTTTTGCACTCCTACTGTCATATTTTAAAGGTTATGAGCTTTAACGTTTTCAAGCAACTTGGCTCTTTATGCAGGAAGGCTGGTATCATAACGTTGTTTACTTGGGAAAGGAGAATGATATACCTATACTGACCATGACGTAAACTTTAACGCACTTTCTTGGCAACTCAATTTTCATTTTACAAACTCATTTTTTTTGTATTTGATATCGTCAGGAATAAATTTGATTACTAAAACTAAGAGTCCAGCGATCTACCAACAGATGATATGACTGTTGGCTACAAATTCGTTTTTTCACCATTTTATTTTGTTTATTTGATGATATTCAGGTGTCCCCTCTCAGTGATGGAAAGCTTTAAGTCGGGAGAGATTCCTTTGCGTGCTCCTTGCAAAGAATATGCTGAGACTTTACTATTAGGCCTGGTCGAAGGCAAACAGCTATCAGAAGATGAGGCCACGACTTACATTCAGGAAGCAACCACAAAACCATTATGATTTCAACTCTTTGTTGCCAGCATTTCGTATGTAAATTTCTGAGGTAATAGCATTGATGGTCCAGAGTCGAGCAATTCTTGTTGCCCAAACAAGTAGTAGAGTAGATGATATTGATAGGGTAATCTCCTTTTATGTGTGATATACATCCATTTTATGTATTTGGTTTGTATTTTAGTAGCTGTAGCGAACCGTATTAGCATAACTAGCAAAACTTAAATGGGTTAATTGCTCTCTCTCTCTCTCCCCAGTCCCTTGCATATAGTAGCCATCCTGACAATGGATCTCAGACTAGGAACATAGCAAGGACCGACTTATGATGTTTTTTACAAAGAATTTACAGTTGAGAATAGAGGAAAAAAGATCATAAATGTTAAGATTTAAAGTTTATACTTATTAAATATCATTTTAAAAATAATTATATAAATTAATTGAATTAAAATTTGAATTTAATTCATGCCCTCCCGCTCCCAAGAAGCAGCAATGTTGTAAAAAGTTCTGTAATTGCGTTTCAACGAGGATTTGTCTTTATTGCTTAAAAACATATATTTTTTCTTCCTGCCCCCCCATTTTTTTTTTCTCGGAACAAGTAAAAAATAGAGGTAAAAGAGCCAAAACCCTTGATGTCAGGCGAGCTGTAAAAAACTAAAAACACTCACACGAGGTAAACTGCTGGTTTTAAACGGTTCAGGTAAAGGATTACTGGACAGAGAAATTAAAGTTACTATTTATTAAATTTGGTAATTCATTTCGATTAGATTATTTAGTGTTAAATATATTTAAAATATAAAAATTATTGTATTTTTTTATTATATCAGAAAAATAAAATCCCAATACAAATAAAAAAAAAAAGTGAATGGCCTAATTTGAAACAAGTTTTTAATATCCTCTCTAACGACTTTAACCATTAGACTAAAATGTTGATAACAAAATTATTATCACATATACACAAATATATTTTTTAATTTTATTAAATTCATACATTTTTTTACTAAGAATTTTAAATAGTATCAGCTTTACATTTCCTTCCCACGATTAATTTGCAATTCAAGAACCTATATTTGATAAATGTAGGATAAAAGAATTTGCAAAATAGAAAATACATGTCAAGGCCTCTTAATGTTCTGCGGTTCAATTCATCATCAAGCAACTGCATGTGTTCATAGCAAATAATTTACGGGGAAAGTACAAAGAAAATTCTCTCCTAATTACAAAATCCTTGTAATTCATTTCGGTCAAAATTTGTGAAGTTAAAAAAAATCCAAAAAAAAAAAGTTAACAGCACTATCTAAATATCTCATATCATTATACTGTTTTAGAATAAACAGAATAGGCAAAAGTGAAGGCATGCTTCTTACAGTATCATTTTGACCACCAGCAGTTTGCTTTTGCAATAAGAATGGATGAATGGATTTAAAAGAATGAGCAGCTTCTTGCTGTCCAAATTCTGAAATGCTATCACTGAGCTGGTGTGTTTGATTAACAATCCTCTGCATAAATTAAGAATAACCTATTGCTTTCATCGGAATTTCAGTCTAGCATGACCAGTGTCTTCCAAATGCTTATGTAATTTATTTCTGCCACGATACGCTGACATTTCTTTTTTGTATTTTGATAGAAATGCTTTAAGGAATTTGAAAAAGAAGAGTAGCAGTGAAATTATAATGTCCACATACTTTGTTTGAAATTCCTCTCCACATGTGTCACATATATTAACAGAATGCTTTGCTGTTACCTGCATGTGAATGCATATTTTGACAATTAGACCAGAAATGAGAGATACAAGCATAATTCACTACTACTGGTACATTTCAAACAAAATACATAAAAGCATTTAGGTGATTTTTATGAATAATTGTGCTTGGTGGTGAAAGTCTCTCTTTTTAGATAGGCTACCAAATACTCTGCAATGGAACTGGTTCATCAAACACTTGCCAGGCAATTAACTAAAATCCCTCCTTTTTGTGTGCATGTAAAGAAGCAATTACATGGTTCCCTGTATTCTCTCCATGTACTACAATAGCACTCTATATTGGCACCTCTTGGATCTTGATATCAGTTGATCACTCATCACAAATAATCTAGGCTAGGACGATAGAAATAACATATTATTGTGGTTTATTCATACTGGAAATCTCAAGTAATTTAATCTGTTTTTCAGTCTGCGAACTAATCAGGTCAAAAACCCTTTTTTCTAAGTGAGTCAAAAATTATTAATTCAAAACTGAGCATAAGATAGCAAAACAAGAAAGTGGTCTAATCCAGCAAGTTATATATATGGAGGTAACTAGCAATGGTTTAATCAGAAGATAATATCAATAAAAATGGAAAGTAAAGCATACCTTCATTTTCTTTCCTTTAGATGAGTTCTTCGATTGGGTATTGGATTCTTTCTTCATATTCCCTTTTCTACCAACAGGTTGCTTTGAAATCTTCTCATTGTTTCCCCCCCACATGCAGAGTATCATTTACGCTAGCTTCTTCATCCTTGCTTTTAGTTTTGTTCAAATCACTCTTCATTGTGTCACTGCCATTCTTCTTACCAATCTCTTTCTTCCCTCTTATGTTTCTCCTTCTGTTCTTCCAGTTATCATGTTTCATCAGTTCCCTCTCATCATTGTCATCCTTGACACGAAATCCCGTCTGCGAAACCATGTCCTCACTCTTAAAAGAAGCATTCTTTTTATCTCTTTGCCCTGACACAATTGCTTCAGGAACAGTGTTTTCTTCATCATCATTATTATCACTATCTACTTCAACCGCCTCTTCAGCCCCTTCCCCAACATCAAAAAACCCATCATCCTTCTCACTCAACTCATCAACTCTATTCTCTCCTTTATCCTCCTCTTCCTCTTCAATCCGTAAACCCTCCCTAAACCTCTCCTCCACATCCTCTTCCGCCTCCAACTCCCCTTCCTCTTCTTCCTCATCAATAAACGAGTCCCTCAACTCTGCCACTTTCTCCTTATGCTTCTTTGACTGCTCGTGATTCTTCCATTGCTTCTCACTCTTAAACTTCTTCCCACATGCCACACAATACAACTCTTTCTTCTCTTTTCCTTTCTCCTCCATTTCATCCCAACCATCCATTTCTTCTTCTTCAACTTTAGCCCATTCTGGCTCCTCATGTACCCTAACTCTCCCCAACCTCTCCTTCTCCATCTTCCTCTTCCTTTCCCTCTCCTCCTCTTTCCTCCTTTCCATCTCTTTTTTCCTTTTCACATTCATATCAATAACTCTCTTATCCCTCTTCTTAACAAACTCTGCCAACCCGCTAACCCTCTCGTTATAATCCCTTTTCGCCTTCGTCCGCAGCTTCTTACTCTCTTCCTCCATAACCCTCCGCAATTTCCGGTTGGGTCCCGCCATAAAATCATACTCATCAACCCAAACAAAATCCATAACAGTAGTAAACCCCAACCACTAATTATAAAAAGCCGTAACTTAAACGTACGGACTCTCTAAATTCCCCATCAAAGGAGCTTCTTTTATTACATCTGACCCTAACCGTAACATTTTAGCAAAATTAATGTCATTGGCACAAATTTTAGAGAAAAGTTCGGAATAAATCTTGTAGAAGCCCCGACCCGAGTCGGAGTAACCGGAATAAACGTTGTTGGAGCAGAAAGAGAAGAGGTCAGGGTGGCGGTGCGGTCGGCGAAGAGGATTTGGGAACGGTGAGAGTCGTACCAGGAACGCTCTTTGGGGTCGGGGAGGACTTCGTACGCGTGGACGAGCTCTTGGAATAGGGCGGTGGCGTCGGCCTGAGAAACGCCGGATTGAATGAGCTTATCAGGGTGGCGTTGGAGGGCGAGCTTTTTGGAGGCTGAGTGGATCTCGTCTTGGGTGCAGTCAAGGGATAAGCCTAGCACGTCGTATAGGCACGTCTTCTCCGATGCCATAATTTTTTAATTTTATTCAGCCTTTGTTTTCCTTCTGCTATTTATTTAATAATTTTTTTCTTTTAATAATATTTTTATAGAAATTGCATCTGTATATATACATGCATAAAGTTGGAACTCAGCTCAATTTGTGACTTCCCGGTTAAACTCAAACTCGGATTAACGTTAAACAAGTTGAGTTCGATTGCGCTTTGAAAAACTGGCAAATTGCTGAGGTGGCAGTGAGTCGACTCGGATCTCGTCCGATTCCAATCCAATTTATAAAAGATTTTCCTCTAATTTAACATCAAATTATTATTTTTTATATTTAAATTTTTATATTTAATTTCAACTGCTATATATATAATTCAGGTTAAAATTAACTTAATAATTAACTTAGTATAGTATTTATAAAAATATTGTGTTTAATATCAATTATATTTTAATTATATAATATAATTTTTTATTAAATTAATATTTTAAATTAAAATATTAAATTATAATTTTATTAATATAATATATTTATATAAATATTAAATTAAATAAATAATAAAAAATATATTTTTATATATAACATGAGTAAATTGAGACAAAACCTCTTAAAATCTTCCTTCAAACTTATTTTGATTAAAAAAATAATATCACCTCTAATTCGAATCAAATTTTTTTCAAAAATTAATTCTTTAAATAAAAAATATATCAATTTTATAAAATACAAACTATTTAATCATGCTTACGAATAACCTTACTCAATTACGCTTCATGTTGGACGTTACTAAACCCAATAAACATGTGGCCCAAAAAAAAAAAAAATCCCTAGAAACAAAACGACGCCGCAAGATTGGCTTTGCTTGGTTCCTTTGAAATATCAAATTGTTCAAAACCGAATTCCCATCCCAAATTCTTGTTCCCTTACTTTAACGCTAGCAGTAAAACACTGACCCGGGCTGAGAGAACTAGTAGTATTACGTGAAAACGCCCAAAAGATTAGAAAAGAAAAAAATATCTTTAATCCAAGACAGCAAGGATTTCTAGGGTTTGTAAGTATCGGTAACCGATGGCGATGGCTGCTCTCAGACGTGAAGGAAGGCGTTTCGCCCCTCTGATCTCTCCCCGCCCAATAACCGCCGTCCGATCCCCTCCTCTCGCTCCCTCTCACGAGTACGGATCTCATTTTCTCGATCTGAACCCATCTCTCTCTATCTCTCTGTTACTCTATATGTATATATACATACATTCCGCTTCGATGATTAACAACTTATACAAAAAAAGATCTTTTATTTTTTTCCCCCTTTTCTGCCTTATTTCTGATGCCCAAATGATGCATTTTTCTATTCTTTCTTGGTAACCAAACGAAAAATATTTTATTTGGCTTATTGGACTGATTAGATTTTAGTTTTGTCTAATGTACTTTAGTTCTTCTTTTTTTTTTTTTTTTTTCGTATATTTTCCCTTATTTTGTTTATAAAAATGACAATTTTAAAATAAATTTTAATTTATGTCTCTGCTCATAGAAATGAATGCATTAAATTTTTTTAATGATTTTTTTTTGGCCAATGCAGGTAAATATTTATCGCTGAATAGTTAGTAGTGGTGTGTTCAATAGTTTAATTTCAAAAGATAAATATATCAAAAACTTGATTGAACCTTATAAGATTTATATAAAAATTATAATTTCGGAGTTTTGTTTGATGTAATTTGATGTTTTGAAGTACTAAATAAACTAACTCGGATGGCAGGGATGAGGGTCCTATTGGAGTTCGATATGTTTCGACTCAAGTTGGTAAGAATTGTTTTCATTTCTTTGTATTTTGTTTTTTTTTCTTTTTTCTTATAATGTTATACATACATCCTTTCCCGCATTTTCTTCTAGAGTTAGAGCTCTTGGTGAAGGTTATAATTTGGGTGGAGGTCAATTACTTGTGCAGTTAGGAACCGGATGAAGAGTGTCAAGAGTATTCAGAAAATCACAAAGGCAATGAAGATGGTTGCAGCCTCAAAGTTGAGAGCAATTCAAACTAAAGCTGAGAATTCCCGTGGCCTCTGGCAACCATTTACTGCACTTCTTGGTGACCTACCCAGTATGTCCACTAACAAGCCTTTGATATGTATCTTTTTACCACGCAAGCTCAGTTGATTTGTTTCTGTTGTCATTGCATTTTGCTTAATGTTTGTTATATCAAGTTGGTGACTGTTAATTTGTTCTCTCTTCCCTTTTTGTTGCGTTGATGTTCATGTTTTGAATCTTATGGGGCAGTGGCTTTTTTCAGCCAACCCTCTCTATCTTGAAGGTTTACACAAATGTAACTTTGATATTTGATTGATAACAGAACAACTTGAGCTGATTAGCTGCAGTTTTATTAATGCTTCTTAGAGTATTTGTTTCAGAATTAGGTGAGTAATATTGTCCTAAGATTAATATAGGTAGATAATTTGTAGAAGATGGATTTTGCGTGAAAATTCTTCATTGATTTTGTTTATTGGGGGAGTAATCATGATTGTGATTTCTCGTAATCATGTGGTATGATTTTATGTGTTTTCATGTTTGGCCTTGCTCTGAATTAATATAAGCTCTAGCGAGGCTCTGTTATTTATAGAACTGCTTCTGTATCAATAATACCAGGTTGACTTGGTTAATAATTAATATTACTTGATTCAGGTTTAAATAGAGTGGTGTTCTATGCATAATAGTTAATAAAACTGAAGTTTTACAAAACTGGAAACTAATAGATTAAACCGCTATCTGAAGGGAAGTGTTTTAGCTTGACTTGTAAATTATTTCGTACCATCAATAACATGCTTTTGAAATTTGCTTAGTTCAGGTTATAGGGTCTTTGCGTATTCACTCTCTTTCATCCTTCTATGATTTTTTTATTTTTTTAATAATCTTTTACTTATATCAAATGTATATTTTCTTGTTAGCGTCATTTTATTAATATATGTCTTGTCACAATGCTAGGTGTTGATGTCAAGAAGAATGTCGTTGTGACCATCTCTTCAGACAAAGGTCTCTGTGGTGGAATTAACTCTACATCAGTCAAGATAAGCAAGGGTCTCCACAAGTTGAACTCTGGTATATCTTCCAAGCAACTTAATCTTTTCTGCTTTTATTTTTTTCCTCTTAACTGGTGTCCAATTGGATGCTTCTTATGAGTTAAATATCTTTATTGCCATAGGTCCTGAAAAAGAAACAAAATATGTTATTTTGGGAGAGAAGGCAAAGGCTCAATTGGTTCGTGACTCTAAGAAGGACATTGAGTTAATCATTACTGAGTTGCAGAAGAATCCTTTGAGCTACACTCAGGTCTGTCATTGTGTGTTTATCTGCAAATTTCCAAGGAAAGAACCTTTTTGTATGGGTTAAAATTTTTATTGATATATTGAATGGTTGATTCTTTCTTTAAGGCTATCTTTTGGTTATGCATGAGCAGGATATTTTGACCTCATATCTTATGCTTCAGTAACTTCACTGTTTGTCGATTGGTTTCTTGCAATGTAGTGCAGGAAGTGGGGTTCTATCATGGTAAGAAAAATCTGATCATGTGATGGGCAAGAATCTGTAATTATAGGGTTTAATTTGATAATAGAAGATAATTAAGGTTTGTTGGTTGGTTTAGAAAGGAAAGACTCCATTTTGAAGGTGAAAACACAAATAAAGATTCAACCTCCCTACTGGCCTGGGAAGTGAATATTAGATATAACAGTAATTAAGGGTAGGCTTGAAGTTTGGAGGTTGTTTTGGTGTGGATCTGGTTAGAGTTTGATAGATGGTGATTCTAGGGTTGAATGAGAATGCTTTAAGGCTAGTTATAATCTGTCAGAGTGTTGGAAAATAAAAATAAGAAGAGGATAATATCTTGGCTTCACACCTAGATCTCCTCAGTCTTCACATCAAAGGCCTTAAAGGCTTCACATATAGGCTTAGGAATTTCTTCCACAAGCCTAAAGAGCATACAAATTCTAGTACTGGTCCCTATTAGTTGAAATAGCTAATGTGTACATGTATAAATTTTTAGTTATCCTACTTTCACACTGAGTAGATCTCAAAAGTAGGAACTGCCAAAATTGATTGAAAGAAGTTCTAAACTGTGAAGGAAAACATACTAATGGAAGGAAACCTTGAATGAAACTTTGGTCTCAAATTCTAAGCTTTACAACATACAAGAATTACCGGAGTACCAGACTTGTAAATCCAAGAGAAAAGATTTTTTTTTTCTTAAATTGAAACTGATAACCTAAGGAAACATAACATTAACACTTATTTATATCAATTCTAGTTTAAATAATGCCCTAATTGTCTAACATCAAATAATGATTACAATTCTAAAATTTCTTGGAGTTTAATCTTGACTTTCCTTAATCCACTTTCTTTTCTGGATCACCCGTCTTCAATAAATTTCTCTCTTCTGCTCAATTTGTAGATTGGGGTTAACTGTGTTAACCATCGATCGCTTTGGATGAACTGAATTTTCTAATCAAGATGAATCTTTTTTTATGGGCCTTTTTTTTTCTTTTCGCCGTACTTACAACTATTTGCATCTACAGGTCTCTGTTCTTGCAGATGATATCTTAAAGAATGTGGAGTATGATGCTTTGAGGATTGTCTTCAACAAGTTTCACTCAGTAGTTTCATTCGTGCCAACAGTGTCAACTGTATTATCTCCTGAAGTGAGTATGACAAGAATCTTTCAGCTTAATAGTTGTTTATATTTTTTCCTGTTTAAATGTTACTCTATTTTAGTCCTGTTTTTCATTTGGTGATTTGTTCATATAGATTGTTGAAAGGGAAGCTGAATCTGGGGGAAAGCTTGGTGATCTAGACTCCTATGAAATTGAGGGTGGTGAGACAAAGGGTGAAATACTTCAAAATCTGGCAGAGTTCCAGTTCTCTTGTGTAAGTCCTGCTGTTTGAAACAGATATCCTTCTTATTAGGGATAATGTCACAAATAGTCCTTGAACTACAGTGAAATGTTCAATGTGGTATTTGAATTTTAAAAATTTCTAATACAGTACCTGAACTATGAATTTATTAACTAATTTGGTACTTGGAGGGTTAATTGTCCGTCACATGTTATCATTTGAAGCTAATCGTGTAAGGATAGGTACCACATTAGTTAACACATTTATAGTTCATGTATCATATTAGAGATTTTTAAAGTTCAAGTGTCACATTGAATATTTCATTGTAATTTGGGACCATTCATGACATTAACCCTTGTTATTCTGCATGAAAGTTTAATGAACAAAAACTCATTTTTCAAATTTGTGATTTCCCTTGATACCCTAGGTCGTAGATGACAAAAAGTACTGCTCATATGGAAATAATTCCTGTGATTTATGATATAAAGTAAATGCTTAATTGGTTAAGCTCCTATGGTATTGATAGAGCTCTTAGTTTCCTTGTTGATCACTGTTGTTGCAAATTCTGCTGAGTAAACCCGAGAATGCATAAGCCAACTTATCTTCTTACTGGTAAAAAATCTGTAAAAAAAAAAAAAAACTTGAGATTTTTTTTTATTTGTCTTTTTCTATCTGCTGGTATGTGCTATAGTCTCTATAATTTAGTATGAAAGGATTTTCATATTTTCTCCAGGTCATGTTCAATGCGGTGTTGGAGAATGCTTGTAGTGAGCAAGGTGCAAGGATGTCTGCTATGGATAGCTCAAGCAGAAATGCTGGCGACATGCTTGATCGCCTTACTCTTACATATAACAGGTCTTCCTCTCTCTTTCTCATGTACACATGCTTTCAAGTGAAAATTTTCTGTATTTAACTAGTATTCTTAGTCATTTTTGTTGAGTCTCATTTAGTTGTTTTTACTCTTTATTCTTTTTCATAACTGATGTAGATATTTTGTGTCATTCGTGTTACAGAACCCGTCAAGCATCAATCACTACTGAGTTGATTGAGATCATATCTGGAGCATCTGCACTGGAGGGTTAATTTAAAAATTTTACTGTTAAATTTTTCTCATGATAACGAAATAAAATCTCAGTGGACTCTTTTTCCTTTGAGCTTTCATACTGCTACTTTTTGAATGTTCAGTTGAGTAACTGCAATAATCACCCGAGTGTTAAAACTTCATTTATTTCTGTGAATCAAAATTACTTTTTTTTTTTTTTTTTATGGTTTCAGTAGTTTTTTGATTCTTTCTTTCTTAATACAAGTACTTAAATGCAACACCGAAATCCTATGATATTGGAAGGATTTTCTCCTGAGTTGAAACAAAAATATGATTGGAAATTTGTTTTTGTTTTTGTTTTTTGTTTTTTTTTCTGAAAACTGAAAATAAAGTTTTGGGAAGTTTTGAAATCTGTTAAAAAAGGAATGTTGTTTTCAGTTTTTCGAAAATAATTTGGCATGAGTTGTTTACATAAATGACAATTAAACCACTATAATGATGTGATAAAATCATATTTTTATTATATAAATAATATATTAATAATTAATATATTATTAATATAATATATTAATAATATATTAGATTTGATAATTTGTATTTTTATATTGTGTTCGATATGTGTAATGACATGAATTATTAAAACATATATATGATATGAATTATAAAATGTGTTTAGATTTTAAACACGAAAATGATACGTTTAATATATATGTTATATGAGATATAATATGATTAATATGTGTACAATTAATTTGTTTAAATATTATACGAAAAAATATGAATAATATGAATATACATAAATAGACATAATTAATATGGATATATATGAATAAACACGATTAATAAAAATATATACAAGTATACAACTAAAATAATCTATTTATTATTTACAATTTAATAAATTTGTCATATTAATTATATAAAAAAGTACTTGCATATTAGAAAAATAAAAAATTTTAATATTCATTTAATATTCATTTAATATACATATTTAAAATTTAATTCATATTACATATTATATTAATTTTTAGTATCAAATTCAAAATGATAAATTATTAAAGATTAAAGAATAAAATAATAAAGTAAAGGAAAAATATTAATATTTATATTGTATTTATATTATTAATATAAAAAAATAATTTTATAAAACTTATTAAATGAGTATCATAATTAAATGTTTAAAATAATTTTTATATGTTATTAACTAGCTAATTAAGCATCATAATTAAAAGATTAAAAATTAAAATAATTTTTATATGTTTATATTAAATTAAACTAAATATAAAAAAATGTTAAAAGTGTTAAACATGTTAAATGTGTACTTGTATGATAAGATTAAATTAAATGTATTATTAATGTCATGTTACTTTTTTAGATACGTCAACATGTATAAAACCTGAATTATGTTGTGTTAAAATTCGTATCAACACGAATAAATACAAAACATATTTTTCTTAAAACACATATTTGATTTTTTTTGTATTTCATATTATATCACCATGTCTTATTTGAAATTGTCATATCTATAATATATTATTTATTAATATAATATAATATTATTTATTTATATTATATTATAATATATTAAAAAGAATATATTAAGAAATAAATAATATTATAGTAATAAATAATATATTAATAAATATTATTTTATTAATATTATTATATTATTAATAACAATATAAAAACTTTAACCACTTTCTCTTAAAATTTTAAAACAAAAACATTTTATACAAACATGTTTCAAATTTTATAAATTAAAAATAAAATAAAATAAAATTTTAAAAAACATAAAATATAAAACACACAATAATACTAAACAATCCCTTAATTTCCATTTTTTTTATCGCTATTTTCTTTGACCTCATTCTATTTTCCAATCGACTGTTAGAATCCCAGATGGCAAGCAAGTGTTTAGTAGCTGCAAATATACATATAATTTCATGTTTTCAATGAGTTGGGTGCATACATCTCGAAGATGATCAGGTAACATTTTTGGAAGTTGGCCTGCCTTTGAATTTGAAAAGCCAGCAAAACCTACAAGGTTGTGTCATCTATTGTTGTTGTGGAGATGACATCAACAGGTTGTTGCGGAAATGACATCAACAGGTACACTAAAATATAGGACCAAAATCTACTAATAGTTCTCCTTGTGAAATACAAATCTTGTGGTGGTTTTGGTGGAGAATTTGGTGCACAACCTCTCCAACTCTCTTGCTAAAGCCAATGGTCCACAGTAGAAAACCCCTGTCCATACCAAACACACTTCTCAGAAACCACACCAGAAAAAAAAAATGGTTTAATCAAAAAGAAAAATGAAAATGGCTTCATAACTTCATTTAATCTGAGAAGGCGAAAGCTAAAACTTTTCTCACCAATCCGAGCCCCTCTATGTCTCGAGCCAACTTTGAGAAAATGTTGAACCAATTTGGTCGAGCAAAATGAGTGTGTACCTGAAAATTTTATTACTCAAGCTTGCAAAAGTCTATTTGTATGTGCATAAGAAAACATCCAAGGTCATCTAATCAACCAAGCAATCTACTATCATTTCATGATGGTTATATAATAAATCATTCGAGTCTTTTGAGATAGAGGACAAAATATTAGTTGGCTTCATACTTACCGGGGTTCCGGATAAAATGTCAATTCCATTCTTGGCATGATACAGTGATTGTACAATGCTGATTAAAGCCGACCGAGCATCTCCCTCTTGATATACACTGGTTAGGAAATTGAACACCTCTGCAACAGACTATAGACAAGGATTAAGGAAAAGAATTTGAAGATTTCTTTTTTGTTACAAAGAAGGCCAAGTTGGTGATATGAGATAAGATTGTAGGTGTTGAGATTTGAACCTATGTAGCGGATGTCACCTCTTAGAATGATTGCATGAAGCAATTGAGTTAAACTTTGGGTTTAGGCTTTGAAGGTTTTTGATTAACAGTTTAAGCATAATAACTAGGATGCGTCTAACTAAAATATTTCAGTTTGTTGAATGAATTAATAAGGATTCTGTTGAGATTTACCTGCTTTTGGTTTGTTTCTGCTATATCCTTCATGACATCCATGAACCAAGTAAAAGAGCTTTGTTCTCTTGTAACCCAATAAAGATAAGCTTTTAATGGACCTTTGTCAATACTGCCTTCCCCGCAAGCTGCCTGCATTATGGTTGGAAACACTTGCTGTCAATCTAATAACCGAAGCTCACTTGAATCATGTTTTATAAGAACAGGTTGCAGAACAAAAGTGAAGTTATTACATGATCAATGTTTGATTTGTTGAGACGGCTAGCAACATCTTTGAGGATGCTAATGAAGGGTGTGACTCCTATGCCAAGGCCAACCATTACTACAATGTCATACTTGACATGGTCTTGAGAAGCAGCACCGTAAGGTCCATCAATATAAATTTTGGGATACAGCTTCAGTCCTGTTAGTTTTGCCTGGAAAACCCAGATTGCAAGTACGGTTCATTCGGGCTTTTGCTTTCTTATTTGAATATAAAACCTGTTAATTTTTTCACATATATTTACCTCCTGGAAGAGACCATGTAGCTGACAGCTCCAGTCTCCAAGAGTTCTAATATGCACACTTAAGTGATCATCTTCTGGTCCACAAGCTAGGGAAAATGGGTGCCTGCGAAACAAAAATAGTATAAGATGATCACTCAGGGTGCTACAGGATCAAGAATTGAAATATTATTGAACAATAAGTTATTGCCAATCAACAAAGAGGGAATAAAAGCTTCAAAATATATCATATAATTTACCATTCAAAGGGTGATATTTGAGGGCACTGGATGAAAATGTACATGCCACTCTTGTGACTAAAACCTTCTGGTTTTCGCAATTTGAGGGACAAAACTTTTCCTGGACATAGGCTTGCCTGCATTTGGAATTAGAAACAACGAGAGGGAGGGTTTTACCAAGGTGATATGCATATAAACTTCTCTTTGCATTTAGTAATTGTTGCAGAAATTGAGATAAAACTAATAAACTATACCTTCAAAATTTCCACCTCTGAAAACCCTGATCTTATAGCTCGAATTATCCTCTCTCCAGCATATAATAAAACTGGTATGGCAATATACATCCATGTCTGCATAAGAAGATTCTTACATTATTGCAGCCCTTTTGATCTGACTTCAAGTCACTCATCTCCAAAGCCATGTACAACGGTTGAACATTCATTCCTTTACTAAATGTAGAAATCTCAAGGTGACATTCACATTATGGTTGGTGACTTGAAAAAGATAAGAGATTTAAGGTGATAGGCACCGTGAAAGTCTTGTCAAAATTCATTTAAGTATTTTATCTTTTTCTGATTGATATGAATTGTGATATGCAATTTTCTTGTAAAACACAACCAGAATGCAACTTTGCCTGAAGTTCCAATAATGGGGAAAGCAGTGACTTCTGATGATAATAACATTAACTATATGTAATCTCATAAAATCATGCCATTCTTACCGTTTTTTGAGTTAGATCATCTGTCAGGAACAGGAACATTGAGTGAACAATGAGCAAAGCATACACCAGAACGAATAGATGGTGGGAGTACCAAAATGTATTATAGCCAGTGACCTTCCGGACGGGCCTCGGAAGCGGAGGAGACTGGCGGCGAGGCCACTTTGTAGCTAGTGAAAATGCTATCATCATCAAAATTACCATAGCAATTCCTGTTGCAACCTCTGTTGTGGCCAATATTTGGAAGTATGATGGTTGCTGATAGCCAAATCTAGCTGCTATAGTTTGTCGAAAAATGGATCGATCCGATCCACTAATTCGTGGGAAATCACACGCAAGATGTGTTCCTCCATGGAGGATAACACCAATCACTATCCCTGCTGCAATTAACTACAAAAAAAAAAGAAAAGTTGTTAACATGAATTTTTATGTTGTGTTCCAGGAACTCTAACTCATAAAACATCATATGGTGACATGATGACATACTTTGTGAAAGTTGATGTTGTCATTGAATGGAATAACCGAGTTGAACCCACGATTCTTGCGTAGCCATGTTATTGTGTTTCGACAAACAGGGAGGAGAATCAGAGCCATGTTGAATTTCAGGGTCTCTGCTGCTCCCTTGGCAGTTGATAGACAGTACCCCATGACTTGGAAAGCTGTTCTATGGCTGTATTGGATGAATTTCCATGTGAAGAGCGCAAAGCAAACTATCAA